CTATCATGACTATAATTAGAAAATTATTCCCTCCAATCATTTATTATTACATCAATTCTATGAAAAATAAATATAAAAATAGGGCAACCCTGATAACAACCCCGAATGGCCTTTCAATTTAACATTTTAGGCACTATTGTAATTGATCAGTCTATTCATTTGTCATTTTTAGTGCATCTGAAATAACGCCGGTGATAACTATTTCTCTCAAGGTTCCTGTAAATACGAGAAATTTTATAAATTTTACACAGTCCTATGTCAGATTTCTACTTTCTTGGCAATGTAACAACAATGAATTTTTTTTTTACAACAGCAATTAAACAAAAAATACAGAGAAAGAAGGAAAAAAACAACCAAAAGAGGGCTCAGTGATCGGCCGAGGCTCCCAACATCCCCGAAGCCTCGCACGGACCATCCAATAAGATGAAGACAGTGCCCAATTTCCAACCAACTCTAAGAACAACACCAAAGGTTGGCACCAACAAGACGATAAGGACACGAGCCTCAGCAACATCATTGCCCCATAAACCAGCGCACCACCAAACCGACCCAATGAACAGAAAATCAATCTCGAAAAAACACAGGGAACGAATACAATACACAGATAAATTATCTTCTTCTCTGGCCCCTCCCACGAAGTCTCCCACGAGAGGCAACCAAGATAACAGGTCTATCACGAATCAGAGTAAAATCGTTTCCAGGGTCAGATCCACCACAGAAATCCGGAGAAGCCAAATCACAAACCGAAAATTCGGATTCAGATTCAAATTCAAACGAACCATGCAGCCAATCCACATGGTTCCTAATATCAAAACCAGAATTAACACCCAAATGATTGACCATATTATGCGTGTCGACCAAGTTTACAGGGACATCAACCAAAGTATTAGAACACACCGAATTTATATATATTATTCCTAACTACAAATATATTTATTTTTAATTGTGAGAAACAGATGATTTTTATTTTTTGAATTAATTTTGCTGGATCGGATCTAATGATTTTTCTCATTTATTTTTTAAGTTTTTTCTTATAAATTTCTTAATATCTTATAATTTCTTTCTGAGCACGTGACGCGATCTGAGTGGTGACCGAACGTAGAGCTACGTCCGGTCACCGGACCTAATAATTGTTCACGAAATTGACACCCCTAATCTTAACAAATGATATTTTTAATTTTAATAAAAAGTTATATTATTTTTTGATAACACTCTAGTTCATATTTAATTTTTAATTATAATATGATTTGATTATACTGAGTTTAGCGAGACATTTTATTAAATAGTTAATCTAATTAAAACGCTAGATTTTGCCCTTTGTAAGCGTGCTACCTTATCGCATCAGCGACCACAAATTTCTATTCTAATTTTTTGATTGACTAATTTCTCTAACGTAGAATTGTCAAAAAAGTTATCCTTCTCAATTTACTTCATTTTCAACTAGCTAAAAAACATGTATTTAATTCATTTATTAAATAAATGACTTCATATTAAATATTTTTTATTACTAAATGTTTTTTTATTTGATAATGAAAATGCAAAATAAATGTTATATATGTATAACACTTGCATTTTAGATTTATTTATTGATTAGTAAATGAGATGAATAAAAAAAAAATTTACATAAGCAGAAAAATTTTAAATTTGAGTGTGATTCATATGAACAATTTCAAGCAAAAGTCAAACATGAGTTTGCAAATTTGAATGAGTTGAACATAATGATGAGGTTTCATTTGAGACGATTTTTTTACTACTTAAAATAACTTTCTAATTAGCTGCTTAAAAAGCAGTAAAAAATTGTCACAAACAAAGCTAAGTGCGTTTAAACTCGATTTATTTTTATAAACAACAGCCTAAGTGTCATTGACAAATCAGGCATTTAATATCGTCTTGTTTTTAAAAAATATTTTTCTATAAAATATTTTCTTGAGTGTTGGATGATTAATATTGAAACATGTCTCTAATATTTTAATTTTTTAGTGATTTTGGGTTTTTGAAATTTGTATTTTCATTAGAAAATTATACCTAAATATATTTAATTAGATATAGCTTATTTGAATGGCGCCTTTGGTCTCTTGTTTGTTCATGTATTTTTTTGCTCTCATTGCTGATCATATTATTGTGAATTCTTATGCTTATTTAAGGATTATTATTTTCTATAGGCACTAATAGCATTATCAATAGTTATTAGTGTTTTGACTCAATAAATAAAATCAATATAAAAGTTGACTATCTCTTACATCAATGATAGTCAAATGATGACGATCATGTGAGAATGATCGAACGATGACAATTTAGCAATGGCAATACCTTATTGGCAGTCTGAATGAAAGGAGAGTTTCGTAGTGATAATTGATGTTAACTGTCGAGTCAAACTCAAGTTTAGATTTCTCTCACATGAATATTGGAGTTTTATATATAAAGTTTTATAAAATTTGATCAAAATTCTATAACACTGGCAAATAAAACCACCATTGATGTTATCGGGATTTTCTTATCGAGACATTCAGTTTCATTATAACTCAGCTAAAATTGGTATTCGATTAATTTGAAATTTAACTTAAAATTTCCGACATATATAATACATTGTGATCTAAAATATATTTTAAAAAATATAAGAGTAGCACTTAGTATACATGTTTCAACAAATTTAATGATTTAATTTATTTGTATATTCATATATTTAATATTTTATTATATTATTTTAATTAATTATTCGTTTCCTCTCATCTAGTATTTTGTAGGAGCTTTGTATATATTTCGGCTGAATTATCTCAACTAAAAGAAAAGGCCGGCTAAGTAACTTCACTCGGAAGTCTAGAAACTCCTAGAATATGCGACCCATCGGACAATACTGAACTCTCCAAAAGGCTCTGGAAAATTCTAATCAGATTTCCTCGTTTAGCTATAAATCTATTGCATCATCCCCAAATCTCTGCATAGAAAGAAACAATCGTCAATCTTGAGGAGCTAGAAAGAGAGAAAAAGATGTCGATCATTCGCCGGAGCAACATCTTCGACCCATTCTCCGCCGATCTTTGGGACCCCTTCGAGGGCTTTCCCTTTGGATCAAGCCTCGCCTGGCCCAGATCTGGTCTACAGGGAGAGACCTCAGCCTTTGCCGGCGCACGGTTCGACTGGAAGGAAACACCAGAAGCGCACGTGTTCAAGGCCGATCTACCGGGGCTGAAGAAGGAGGAGGTGAAGGTGGAGGTGGAGGACGGGAGTGTGCTTAAAATCAGTGGGGAGCGGAAGAGGGAGAATGAGGAGAAGACCGATACCTGGCATCGCGTCGAGCGCAGCAGCGGCAGCTTTCTCCGCAGCTTCCGACTCCCGGAAAACGCGAAGGTTGATGGCGTTAGGGCAGCCATGGAGAACGGCGTTCTCACCGTCACGGTACCGAAGGAAGGGGTTCAGAAACCCGAGGTGAAGTCCATAGAGATTTCCGGCTAAGGAAATTGGCCCATCCTCTGCAAGTTGTCTTCCATGCCTTTTGAGAAATATGTTTGTGTCTAGCTATTATCTATCTATGCTTTGGCGTATTGGTGTTCTGTGTAGTATCTCTGTAGATTTGATATGGTAATAGTGCGTTGTCCTATCATAGTTTCAATGGAAATGCGAGTGCTTTATCTTAATTACTAGTAAATTTATGAGCTTGGACTGATGTTTTCTTCAGAAATGGATTTGATTTCGTTCTGCAAAAGAATCCGAGATAGTATCGTAATCCTGCTGGTTGAATTGAATTTCTGTCATTACATTGCCTCAAGGCAAGAATAATTCATTATTTGGGTAATGAATATAGAATTGACTTTGATTTGATCTACAAGAGCAAAAACAGACGTAGCAGCAGTAACAATGAAAACGTTTGGATTCTCCATATATTTTTAGCGTCGGTTAGGCTTGACAAGATGTCAAGAACAATTGCTGGTGATGGTCATGGCATGGATCGTTGGCAAGATTTTGAGTTATTCATATTTTTGAGTTTTTTTTTTTTAAATTTATGTTAAGATTCCTTACATATAAAAAATGGTGTTATATTTACAATTTTTGAAGTTGTATTTTAATGAATTAAGCCAAATTTTCCAAAACACTTCAATAGATAGAGATTGTTATAAAATATTCGTTGTGTATTTGGACACCTTAATAACATTGAAATTGAATGATTTTTGGTTTGTTGGATTCTTAACAAATAATATATGAGAATCATTTAGTCTTTTTTGATTTAGTGGATTGGCATAAAACTTTAAGAAGAAATTCTCAATTCATGGAACAACATAGGCTCTAAGCTTCAAAGAATATATAATTTATTAATCATCTTTCCTACTACATACTTGAATATTTATAAGCTAATAAGAATGTTTAAAAAGTTAGAAGTAACAAATTTAGATGATATATTCCTAAAGCTATAGTTAGTAAAGATGTTTGTATATCATATTTGCTTTGCGTCAAAAGAGCTCGACTCCGTTGAGACCTGTCATATGTAGGGAGATAGGAGAAAACATATTTACATGTTTGTGAATTAGCATATCCTGCACCAAATTCTGCGATGACATCCTTTAAAATGAAAGGGCTGAGAATTCATGATTCCACATGTGGTTTGCATGTTAGTGAGCGCTTACCCAATATGAACATCAGTGTCAAACTCACAACGAATTGCATAAAAAAATGAGCTTGTATTCCTTGTTCAAAAGATTCCAATCTAGAACAAGCTGGAATGATCATTCCTCTAGTATATGTATCCGGCTTCAAACCAGCAATTTGGAGTTCAAGTAACATTTCTAGAACAAATTCATTGGGTCCATTCTCCATGCAACAAGCAATTAATCAATTCCAAGTTGAATTCAGTCCCCTTGATATTGCATAAGAATGCATCTCATTGAGACCATTGGCCCATGCCATCAGCTACACCAAAACTAAATTCTTGCATGCCATTAAGTAAGCATCTTTTCCACCTGTCAATACCTTAGAAGACAATGAAAGTTGTGGCACTGAAGCAACCTCAATCTTTGATTTGATTGAAGAATATTGGTCCATTTCAGCTATCTTAGCAATCTCACCAATATGTTGGTTTCTTCAGTATTCAATATCTCAAATGATTTTTTCATGATATTTTTCTCCCCTTTCTCTTTGCCATTGGAACTAACCTGGGAACTCGAACCTGAAATGCATTCGGATGAAATACTGAAGCCATAAAAAAATTTTACAAGTAATTTGTTCACGATCGACTGTTCAACTAAGCCAAATTGTTTCTCTAAATCTTGTAATTATCTAATTGTTTGCATTTTGTGATAAAAATAGTTTATAGCCTATTGATGCCATTTTTTGTTAATAAGCTTCAATTAATAGTTATAACTAAAATGCATTTGTTACTTGGCTTCATAATTACTCAAGTTTTCTCTGGTTACAAAGTTGTTGTTAGAATTTGAAGCTGACTTGTTTTTACTCTAAATCAGTGTTGTGCTCTCTTCTTCTTTTACAACTCTGAGATTAATTGTTCTTTGTTTGAGCTATATAATAATGAGGCATTGATTTGATTTTTCTGTAAAAATACAGTTATTAATCATATCGTTACACATGGATGTTTGCAACTACATGACGCATTAGCAATATTGAATGGAAGTTTTTCTACCTTCGACGTCTACTGACGCATATTGATTTGGATTTGTTCTCTTATGTGTGGATTTTTTCACACAAGGTGTTTTTGCAAAATGGAACTGGGCACTCATTTTAAGACCTGACCGGCTGACCCGATCCAGTCGTGGGAATTTTAAATCGGCACTCATTTTTAAAAAAGAAATCCTAGAAAACTCATAAATATTTAAGATATTTAGGACTTTAGCGGAATAAAATTTTGTATGCCTGTTGAAAAAGAAAAATAAGAAACAATCGATGAAGACGAAAATTGATTTGAAGGACGTTGCAATTTTCGAGTAGATGATATGTTCACAGTATATAGAGTTTGAAAGGCGGTATGCAAATGTTTAGAAAGATTTGAAAATAACAAATCTGCAATAAAAAATGGATGAGAGTTTACAGGATAGTGTAGAGATTGTAAGGTTGTATGAAATGGATGTCAATTTGATTAAACCTACTACAATTATCAATAGTTTATTTAGTGTTTTGTTCATTTTGTTGTTTTTTGAACTAGTACACAATATGTATAAGGGAACGTTTTTTAATAGGAAATTTTTTCTTATACAGATACTTGTATTGTATGTGAAAAGTACAATACATCGATATCAACAATTTATGTGGTGTTTTTGTTCATTTTGATGCTTTTTGAACTAATACACAATGTGTGTATAATAAATTTTTTTGGATTGTGATTTTTTCCTTATAAGCATTGTATATTGCAAGTCATGGAAGCTTAGATATAATGATATCAATGATTTATGTATTATTTTTGAACTAATACATTGCATGTGTATAAAAGAGATTTTTTTAAATTGTGATTTTTTCTTTATACACGCATCGTGTTTTGCATATGAACTGCTTAGTTAAACTATTTAGATAGTTTATGTTATGTTTTTTCCATTTATAATATTTTTTCCTCTTTTCCACAAGATGTGTATAATGGTGAGAAGGAAGCATACGAGTTTTACTGCAATTAAGCCCATAATGTTAGTTTTTGTGATAAACTGCCACCTTAATCAAGCCCACTCTCAGGTTAAATCTGATCTATTCCATGAATACTATTCAAGGATGATGCCATAAGAGAATGAAGAGAGTGATCCTTCTTCGAAGATGAAGTGAATGAGATGACAGACCAATCATTGTTCAAAGATGAAGAGTGTTTGAACTGAAATTAGGATTGAAAAAGGAGAGGGGAGCAAACCTTATTCGACGATGAAAACTTATCCGATTCAACAACTGTTGGGGACTATTGGTCTGCCATAATTTTCAAATTTTCAAATTTTCACCTCTAGACTGGGTCAGCTTGTATATATATATATATATTAGAAATTCACGTGTCTAAATTTAATTGTTGTCCAGACGCAAAGCTACGTCCGGACTTCACACCTAATAATTTCTCCACTATTGAACTCTTTTGTTTTCACTAGTATAATTGCACGTGCACAAGATGCACATGAATAAAATTTTAAAAAATAAAAAATATATATATGACATGTCATATCAAATATATTAAATAGTATATCAATATTAAATACAATATTTGTATCAATATAGATGATTTATACTTATATTATATTTGAATTAAGATAAATTGAATTACATGTAGCATCTAGCACAATGATGCACATTTGAATAAGTTCCTGCTTTTATAGATAAATTGAATATAGATGATTTATACTTCTATTATAATGTTGAATAGACATACAAGGTTGATGATAATCTTTGATAAATCAATAACTTCATTCAAATAGACAAAATGATGCTCATTTGATCAAGCAATTGCTCAAAGATCAGACCAAGTATAGTGGCCCCACATAACATACTTTCACAAAAATAATTTGTTCCCAAATTGACAGAAGTATCAAGTTTTTTTATAATTTTAAATTGTAACAAAGAACTTTTATCATAACTTGAACTATTAATTCACACTAACAATCCTGTTTAAGATATGCAACAATTCAATAGTGAAGCAAGAGTATTTAAAGATAACAAATTGAATGAATTTAAGATAGTTATCATAAATATACATTGTTATGACTATTTCATTGGAATAAAAAATATAGTGATTTTACAAAAGAAAATGCTGTAATGAAATGTGAAAACTAAATTATAGAATTTTGTTTAAATTTCTTGATGCATTAAGAAGTACGCAGTAATTGTAAAAAGAAAATCCTCAACCTTTGTCATTCGGACTTAAGACCGGCATTAGCGGTTTTAAAAATATGAGGCTATCGACACAATTTTTTCCCACAATCATGAGCTCCCAATCACATATTTTTCTTCAATATCGCAACCAGCGGCGGATTCATGATGGGGGCCCTGGGAGCACGGGCCCCCACTGAATTTTTAATTAATGCTTCATTAAACCTATTTATAGCTACCTAATTATCATTAAGAGCATCTTTAGGTTTTTCTTGGATTAATATTACAGCTGGTCCACTGCACTTCTCTAATTTTGGCGGAGTGTTTGCGACGAAACCGAAAGGGCAAAACGTGAAAGATATCCTTAATTCCTTCTTGTTCACGGCAGGCGACGGCTCGCCGGCTTGCGACACGACGAAAGAAGGGCGGACGGGCAGGGGCGGAGCTAAGTAAAATCAGTTTCCATCACAAGTTAACCTACATAAATCTATATATCAATATTCTAATCTGATATTTGAAAGGATCACGTCAATTAGATACCTTATAACTCAACATGTTGGAATGCACATAGACTTTTTAGGTCTCTTAGTTCTATATAGGAGAGCTTATACAAAACTGAAAGAGTGATCTTGCTCCAAATAATTTAACCTCAAATCATATCATCTCAAGAGCAAGTCAATACGGGTTTACACTATAAATCATATTATAGAAGCCTTTATTAAAATTTAATGGCACTTATAAATTTTAGTAATTTGAACCTAGTAAAAAAATTTTAAATTAAAAAGCTAAAGGGATTAAAAGTGAAATTTATTTTAATATTTTTGTTAGAGTGATTGAGAGAATAAAATATTAGAAGAATATTAGAGAGGCTCTCCTCACTCCACAGCT